TCTCTGTTTGTTTGGAGGAATCTCGAATGCCGTGCTTTAAGTTTTCAAATGGTACACGTTGCAATTCCTACTCCAGTGAAACCATTTTTGTGCAGTGTTTACCTACCTGTTCTCCTCCATTCTTTCCCCCATCCACTCGCTCATCCACTGAGTAGTCACCCACCTATTCACCCATTATTCTAGCAGCCCCTGGGAGGCTACCTATGAATGCGCCCACTATGAATCCACCTACCTATGAATGCGCCCACTCCTCCACAGACCAATCCATCCATCTATCCATGTAGCCATCTATCCTGTCCATCAGGCAGTCTGTCATCCATCCATCCATTCATCATCCATCTACATAACTATCCATCTCTGTTCATAGATGCGCCTGTCTCTCTTCCATGCACCCATATTTAAATGAAGACAGTTGTAATTATATGCAGGAAATAACAAGTTTTTATTTCAATTTTGAAATTTTTATGTGTGTTTCATCTACATGCATGTCTGTGCACTAGATGCATGCCTAGTGCCTGCAGGGAGCAGCAACTGGAGTTACAGACAGCTGTGAGCCACCACGTGGGTGCTGGGAATTGAACCCAGGTCCTCCAGGAAGAGCAGTCAGTGCTCTTAACCACGGAGCCATCTCTCCAGCCCCCAGGGAGAGGAGCTGCCTTATTCGGGCACTTCCAAGGTATCCCAGAGCCTACAGCGGTTGGCTAGCTGCTTCTCTCTCACACTCGCAGCAGCAGGGAAAGGCAGAGGGGCCAAGGCTGGAGGCAGCGATACAGACAGCAGAATCAGCCAGCCGCAGGGAAACGTGGAGTGGAGCCCTGGCCTCGTCACGGTTCGGGACAGAGCCTCTCATCTGCGGGACTGGATAGCACTGTGTACCAGCAACAGCCACTCGAAACTTGTAGCCAGTGGTGAACAGGTGCCATAGGCACCTCCACAGGCAATCCCTGGCTTGGGCCTGCTGGCACTTGGGCCTGGTAGCAAAGGTCCCGATGACAGGATACCCTAATCAGAGGGTTTTGCTTTTTCTTGGAGGGGAGGAGTTGGGGGGGGTCTTATTATGTAGCCTGGTTGGACTTTTTTCTACTATATTTAAAGTTTATTCTTTGAGAATGTGATACGTGTACAGCATGTGTTTTGATCGTGTCCACCCTCCTCCATTCCCTACTTCCAACTCCCAGATCCCCTCACCAGGTTGCCCTCCCAGTTTCACGCGCTCTTCCTGTTTGTTGTAAAGCACTAAGTCCAGTTATCACTGCCCATGTGCGCATGAGCGTGAAGCCACCCCCTGGAGCAAGGCCAGCCTCCTGGGGTGGTGCGCACGGATGTGCGTGCATGCCTGAAGAGAAAACTTTCTCCTCAAGCCTCCCAGGGGCTAGTTATGGGCCACCATGTCTGGCTTTTTGTGTTTTGTTGTTATTGTCGGTTTTGGGGAGTTGTTTTGTTTTGTTTTGAGATGAAGGGTTTCTCTGTGTAGCCCTGGCTGTCCTGGAACTCACTCTGTAGACCAGACTGGCCTCGAACTCACAAGACCTGCCCCTGCCTCTGTCCCCTGAGTGCTGGGCTTAAGGGTGTGTGCCACCACCAATCCTTGTTTTTAGAAATCAAAGGAACCTCAGCTATCTCAGATCTGTGTGTGTGTGTGTGTGTGTGTGTGTGTGTGTGTGTGTGTGTGTGTTTGCAAGCACACATGCATGTGGATGTGGAAGCCAGAGGTCAAGGGCACTGTCCATCTTGCTTTTGTGAGATGGGGTCTCTCATTAGCCTGGAGCTGGCCACGCGAGTGAGGCTGGCTGGTCGGGAGACCTCAGGGATCCGCCGTCTCCACCTCCCCGGCACTGGGATTGCCAGTGTGTGCCACTCAGCTTTCTTTGTTGTTTTGTTTTTGAAGACAGGGTCTCGCTGTGTAGCCTTGGATGAACTCCGTAGAACAGGCAGCCTGGTCTCAAAATCACAGGTCTGCCTCCATCTGCCCTCCAGGCTCTGGAATTAAAGGCATGATCCTCCGTGCCTGGCTGGCCATTTTGGTTTTTGTTTTTAAAAAAAATGTACATTCTAGGAATTGCACTTAGGTCCTCCTGCTTGCTTGGCACACACCTGCTGAGGCGTGTCTTCAGCCTGCATGTGTTTTTGTACACACATGTGTTTACATGTTCGTGCACACATCTGCATGTGTGTGGTTTTGAGTGGTTTGTGTGACTGCGCCCATCTGTGCCCACACGTGCATGTGTATGTGTACACACTCGTTTGTATGTTGCAATGCTATGCACATGCATGTTTTCACATGTAGGTTTGCACACTTGCGCATGCCTGTGTGTTGCAAATATCTGGTGTGTGCGCACGTGGCAGGGCAGCCTGTTTAGGAGCTGAGTTTTGCCATGGCGCCTGTGGAGAGAGCTGCTTAAGTCTCCATAGGGGCTTACATGGCCTCACAGCTCCCCCAGGACCTGACCGTTGTGGGAATGTTTGGGAGGTTAGGGGAAAACAGGTGACCTCAGTTATGGTGGGGAGCATGTGGCTTCCAATGCCACTCGCAGGATCCAGAGCAGCAGGGTTGCGGCCTAGGACAAGCTGAACTGGAGTACTGTGCATGCTGAAGGCCCCAGCTATCCAGGGGCAGGTGCTGGGGACAGAGCCTGAGGAACACCTCCATTAACAGAGGAAGGAGTTGAGCGGAGGGGTGGGGGAAATGCAGGAGGTAAGTGTGAGGCAGAAGGACTTCAGGTGGGTCAGCCCTGGCTCATCAGCCAGTCCTGTCCAAGGGCAGCAGCAGATATGCCAAGGAGTGGGCGGATGGGGTACGGGCAGGGAAGAGCCTTTCTCATGTATTATGTCAGCGGTGCCCCGTCCCCGCCCACGCCTCGGCCTCTCTGCTTTCATCTCTGAGGAGCCGGGCCTGGGAAGAGAGAGGAAGAAAGCCCCGGGCTGGGTCCCATGAATGGGCCCCCAGGAGCCCTGGCACACACTGGACTGTTCTTTGAGTCCTGGCTCTTCTGGGCTTAATTAGCGAGCAGCTCAAGGGCACCCCATTCTCCTTATTCACAGCCAGCCCCAGCACCATGGAAACCTCTTCCAGGGTCCTCAGGCAGGCACCGTCTAATGGGGCCACCCCTCCGGCTGTAACTGGGTCCAGCTTGAGGGAGCCCATGGGAAGGCAGGCTAGCCAAAGGCCATTAGCGGGGCCTGCACAGGCAGGCCAGCCCATTCCCATCCCCATCATCCGCATTCTGAACCTGACAGTGCTGCCAAGAGGAATGAGGGATTCAAATTCCTTTTTCTGTGTTCCCCGAGGACTTGGGGAAATGGCGTATTTAGAACCGTCCTGGTCTGACATGGAGTCAGTCTCCCCCGGCTCTAAGAAGGCGAGTGTGAGCCCGGTCTGGGGGTGCAGGCTTACATTCCTAGCTCCTTGGGATGTTGAGGCAAGAGGAACTCACATTCAAGGCGTGCCTGGGCTACAGGCTGACGTCAAGGCCAGCCTGGTGACTTATTCAGATTGTGTCTTGATTTTTTTTTTTCCATTAAAGAATTGGGGGGTGACAGAAAGGTAGCTCCCTGGGTTAAGGCTTTGCTGCTAAGCCTGATGACCTGACTTCACTTCCCTGGGACTGACATAGCAGAGAGAACTGACCTCTGCAAGCTGCCCACTGCCCCTCCCCTGCCCCAAGGCCTGGGAGATGGCTTGGTGGGTAGAGTGCTTCACAGCAAGCATGAGGACCCGAGTTGAGATCCTCAGCAGTGAGGTGAGGCAGCACATGTTGAAACCCCGACATGGGGAGGCAGACACAGGCTGGTTCCTGGGTTTGTTGGCCAGCCAGTGTAGCTGAATCAAGGAGGTCCAGGCCGGTGAAACTGCCTCAGAAGATCCAGTGGGGCCGGACAGATGGCTCTGCAATTAAGAGCACTTCCAAGCTCCAGGGGACCTGATGCTCCCTTCTGTCCTGAGGGCACCATGGGTGTAGACAATCAATTAAGTAAAATGCACTTTTTTTTGCCCCTCTGAGACAGGGTTTCTCTGTACTGGAACTCTCTTTGTAGACTAGGCTGGCCTTGAACTTACAGAGATCCATCTGCCTCCCAAGTGCTGGGACCACAGGTGTGCGCTACCATACCTGGCTCAACACTCACTTTTTAAATTTAATTTATGCATATCTGCATGTATACCTGCATGCCAGAAGAGGGCGTCAGGTCCCAGTATAGATGGCTGTGAGCCACCATGGGGGTGCTGGGAATTGAACTCAGGATCTCTGGAAGAACAGGCAGCTCTCTTAACCGCTGAGCCATCTCTCCAGCCCAACACTCACACTCTAAATCTTAAAAAAATTACAAACACAACACACACAAAGGTGGGGAGCAATTGAGGAAGATAGTGGACATTGACCTCTAGCCTATGTACATACATACAAAATCTAAAATATACTCATTGCAATTTGTATAAACACACACACACACACACACACACACACACAGACACACACGTGACATGCATACACATCAGAGGATGACTTGACTATCAGGAGCTGGTTCTCTTCCATCCTGTGAGTCCTGAAGATTGAATTTCAGGTTGTCAGGCTTGCTTGCCATCAAGTGCCTTTATCTACTGAGCCATTGTGCTGGCCACAAATTACAGTATTTTTTTTTTTTTTTAAATCTGGATGTGGTGGTGTGTGCTTTTAACTCCACACCATCAGTACTATATTTCGAGACCCTGTTTAAAAAAAAAAAAAAAAGAGCAAAAGGCCAGGGGATGTAGGCCTAACTGTCCTGAGCTGCGCTGACCGGATGTGACTTCTCCCATGTTAACGGTGCTTGCCCAGCTGTGGCCTGCACGGGGCAGTCAGAGTATGGCTGCTGCAGCAGGCCTGTGACCCCGGGGGCTCAAGGGAGGACCAGCCTGGGTAGATAGGAGCTTTGCAGAGTCGCTGGGCCTCGGGGCTTCTGAACCACGTGGGGATGTCCACTGCTTCCCTTTCCAAGGAGGAATTTGCAATTCGTCTGACCAGCACATGATGGAGTTTTTATTTAGTTCTCAAAGGTTAGAGGGCTTTCCCGGGAAGGTATTTATAGCTTTAAAGACATCTGTTCTGCTGTTATCTTCATTCTTTTTCTGATGATCCGTCTCTTCACAGAGAGGGCTCTGAGGCTGTGAGACTGAAGGCACAGTCCTCACTCTCCTCATCAGGAGACAAAAATAGACATTTATCAGACAGAAAACAGCCAGAACCTGCAGTCCAGGTCATTCAGCCACAGTCCTTGCTTGGTGCAGAGATGAATGGACCTACAAAAAGCTCCCAATTTACTGTGGACTTATACAAACAGCAGGCACAGGGCCCTGGCATTCGGTGCTGGTCGCCCATCAGGAGCCCTGCAGGCACCGTGGTCCCCTCAGTGCTGCGCACCCGGGGATAACACTGCAACAGGATGGCTCTGTAGGGGGAGGTGTGGCTGGGAGGTACAGTGCTTGCCTAGCACACTCAAGGACCTAGGTTCCCCCAGCGCCAGACAAGAAGCTCACTAGTCTGCTTCCGCTCACCACAGCTCTGTTCCCCACCCACACTCAGCTCACTGCTGCCTGTTTAGCGAGTTTGGGGAAGCCTGGCTTGTACCAGCCCCCTCTCTGCACTTCTCAGCTGCATCTCGTGGGCGGAGGTGAATCAAGGGCAACACAGGGCTACGGTGTCTCCTGGATCCTGCTTTTTCACTGGGATGGCATCGCCAAGAGGGTGTTCTGTTCCTGGCTTCTGAGCTAAGAGGAACAGTGCCCCACGGGGGCCCTGTCGGCCCTGTGTCCCAAGCCCAGCTGGCTTGCTGTGTGCTCTGCGGAGATGCCCATGGTCTCCAGCAAGCATGTGCTCAGGGTGAGTGGCACCTTCCCCTTTTCAGCTCAGCTCTCCACACAGGTCAACTGTGCAGGGAGTGGGGGTGGGGCGGGGTGGCTGGCTGCCGCCCATGGGGCGGACTCAGTCTACCTTTTCGTGTTAGTGCTTGCTCAAAGAGTGGGTCACAAAGAAAGCATGGGTTCTTTTAAAGATGAACTACCCACCAGCCTACACGCAAGTCTCACTGCTGCTTCCCAAGCTCAGGTGATGGGGAGGTGTTGCCATCAAAGTCAGGGCACAGTGATGTCACTTACATCTCAGGCACACATACGTGGGTCCTCCTTGGTCCTGAAGGCTGCGGCCTGAGGTCCTTTCCTTCTGAAAAGATCTCTCTCTAACCCTACCATCCCCCAGGGGTGAATTCTGCTGCTTCCTATGACCCTGTGTGCAGTCCACAGACCACAGCTGGCTGTGTCCCAGACCAATCACACTTTCAGAAGGCTCAGCTCAGGCCACAGCCCCTGGCAACTGGCTTCTACCTCACCCCTCCCTAGCTAGCCAGCCAGCTGTTGGGATGCTTGGGCCCACAAAAGCAAGCCAAGCACAAGAACTCTGTCTTACAGATCCCTTGAAGTTCAAAGCTGAACTGGCTGGCGGGACCCCCAGTTCCCACATCCGCTTCAGGCACGTATGGAGGCAGCTTCAAGACAGGGTTACTTTAATAGATTAGTTGCTGCACCAAAGGACAGGAGGTTTACGACTTTCTGGTCTTCAGGGACATGTTCTTAGAAAACCTAAGGGCAGAGCTGATTTTGACCTTAGAGCCCACTGGGCAGGCTGGGTGCGCCTCAAGATATACAGACTGCCCTGCAGCTGAGGTGGATCTTGCAGTGTCCTTTTCCCAAGGTGGGGCAGCCCCAGGAGATCATCCCCCAAACTCCTGACTGCCTGACTGCTCACTGTCAGAACACTCAATGGCTGCTGTTAAACAAGGGAGGTCAGAGCAGCCAAATGTGGCCCCCTGCCCCCCCCCCCCCCCCCCGAGGTACAGGCAGGTGCACAAGGCATCCCGTGCCCCAGTGGGTGGGGTCTGAAACTTCAAGTGGTGGCACGGGTCACAGGGAACACGCCCAGGTTGTGACAGGGACACTGATCTACAGAGGGCTCCAGTCGGCAGCCATGTTGGCAAAATTACCACCAGTTCACCGGGAAGAAAACTGACTTGGCAGGCAGCCTGCGGGCCAAGTGAGATGGCCAGGATCCCGGCCGAGTTGGGTTTAGCCCCCTGGTGGAGAGAAGGGGTAGGCAGCTGTGCCAGGCCTGGCCCAGTCTTAGGGGCACTTAACCCTTCCTGGGGCAGGGAGACAAAGCTGGGCCCCTTCCCGGCCTCTCACCGCCAAGGCCAGCTCGCTTCCTGAGCCTCCCATGCCTGCTGTGTGCGTGCTCAGGCAGGCATCCTGTGCAGAAGGTGCCAGGGATTAAAGGTTCCTACAAACAAACTCCTGGGTCTTCCCACTGGTCTAGTCCAAGAAGGAAGCTTCTAGCGTTAGTTTTTTCCTGAGACAAAAGCCAACCTAAGGAACCAGGGAGTTCCATCCCCAGAGACCTGTGGAGACCCTTGGGCAGCAGACCTAAGCTACGTGGAGCCTGGCTACTCCTAAAACCCTGTCAGAGCCCAAAGCCCCTCATTCCCACCCACTGGCAGTGGCAGGTTTCACAGACAAGCTGCTGGATGCCGAATGGGCCCGGGGGCACCACTGGCCTGCAGGTGCGCCTGCGCACCAGTGACAGGGCCGTACTGGAACTCGTCTTTCCCTGAGACTTATCTCCTCTGGGATGACGGCTGCCTCCTGGCTCGGCTCTCCACCCTTCCACAGGGTGACCTGTGGAATCTGTGCTCTGGCTGCTTCTCAGTAGCAGCTGTGCCACTCTGTGGGACACTGCCTGGTCCCCCTTCAAGAGGGATGAAAGTGGTGGGGTATGAGAGCAGAGGGGACAGGGCTCAGCTGGGAACCCTGATGTCCATAGCTTCTTGCTGGCTCTGATGTGACCGCATTCGGCTGTGGGGACAGGAGACGTGGCAGTGTCACCTGCTAAGGCACTAGGTGGCACAGGGCGAGGAAGGCTGAGCCTTGATGGCAGCTGATGGGGCCAAGGTCAAGGGCAGGCAGTAGAGTGTTTGAGAGTTCTTTGCAGGACTCCCTGCTGCCCTGACTTGGGGTGGACCTATCTGTGGGCACTGGGAACACACTGGCTGCAGCCAGGGATGGAAGCGGGAGGTGGCTACCCACCCTCCCCGGACAGCAGCACAGAGCCACCAGGCTCTCAAAGGCACAGGCACAACACGTAAGAAAACCGATGGCTGAGGTGTTCCCGAGGTAGGGCTGTTTCCCTAGCGAGACAGGTCGTCTTCTCAAAGTCACTTAGTAAGTCCTATAGCCTGGCCCACAGCCACCTCACCTGGAGGCAATGACTGGGGTCCTAGAATGGGGAGGGGCTTTTCTTTCTGGGCAGAAACGGCGAAAAGATAATGTCGTCATCGGAGTCTTCCGAACAGAAGCCCTCCACAGGTCGTGGTGACACGGGCTGCAGTCCTTGGGGACAGGACTCTGCTGAAATGAATCAGAGAGGGAGGTCAATGGCATGGAGTCAGGGTCAGAAGGCGGACAGAGCTGCACCGTGGCCACCGGCACTTCCTGGAGGCCAAGGCTCAAGCCCCACTCGCACAGCCTGGGGCCGCCTTCAGACCACTACAGAACCTCGCGGGAGGTTCAGCCCCTTACCCTCATGATAATCTAGCAGCTGCCAGCCTGGTGGCGGTGTACCCCTGTAATCCTAGCACCTGGGAGGCTAAAGAAGGATGGGGATCATAAACTTGAGGCTGGCCTGGGCCATACACTGAGTTGAGGCCAGCCTGGACTACAGATTAAGGTTGGCTCAGATAACAGAAATGTGCAAAGGGAATTAGAACTGTGTGTAAGCAGGTCCTGGCTGAACCCCTGCTGCCCCCCCCCCTCCGGTGCCTGCCCTGTCTGCTGAGGGGCTGAGCTGAGGCGGAGGGCGCATACCGTGGGATGGACTCGCACTTCTGGTGCTGCTGCTCCTTTCCTCACACATACCCGGGCACATCGCCTCCTTTACACTGGACTCAGGCACAGCCTCTAGACTGGATGGGGATGAGCAGTCCCACTGGCCGCCTTGGGAGGAGTCTGAGGTGGTCCCTTGGGGGACCAAGGGTTGCTGTGAGGAGGGGGCAGGTTCGCCTGGAGCAGTCTCCCTCAGCATCTCCTTGGCACAGAGGCCCGCTCTTATTGCTCCTGACGGGGGAAATGAGAGGTTACGGGCTCGGGATTTAGAAAGAATGAGAAGATTCCGACCCAACCATGAAACAGTTGCTATGGCTGACCGCCTTTTCTTCATAGCTCCCACCACAGTTCATACACACTGAAACTCCAGGAGATTTAATGTCCGACCCCGACCTTATTTTCTTTTTTACTTCACAATCTCTGTGGAGGTCCAAGGACAACCTCAGGGGGTCCTCACCACCCACCCTGTCACGGAGTCTCTGCTGTTTGACGCTGGTCTCCCCTCCCTCCATCTCCTCACGGGGGTTCTGGGATTGCGCGTGACTGCACCTGGGTTTACGCGCATGCTGTGGACAGGCCCTCGTGCTTGCACGGCAAGAGCATCGCCCACTTGCACACTTCTCTCAATCTTTTTTCTCCATAGCCCCCTGCTTTTTCTCTTTTCTTTTCTTTCTTTTGTTTTGTTTGTTTTTGAGATAGGGTCTCGCTCTGTAGCCCAGGATAGTCTTAACTCATGATCCTCCTGCCTCATCTTCTGGATTCCTGGGATTTTAGCCTGTGGCACTGTTCTGTTTTTATTTTCCTTTTATTCCTCCTTCCTTCTGCCCTCTTTCCCCTTTCCCTTTTCTCATGTTCTTTTCTTCCTTCCCTTCCACTACTCTTAAAAAAATATTTTTCCAGGTGGTAGTGAACACCTTAATTCCAGTACTGGGGGTTTGTTGGCAGAGGCAGGTGGATCTCTTGAGTTCGAGGCCAGCCTGGTCTATAGAGGGAGTTCCAGAACAGACAAGGCTACACAGAGAAACCCTGTCTCGGGAAAAAAAATGTATGTGTATAGGTGTTATGCCTGTATGTGTTTGTGTGCCAGCACATGTTTGTAGAGCCACCTGTGGATGCTGGGAACAGAACCCAGGTGCTCAGCAAAAACAGCCAGTGTTCTTAACCAATGAGCCATTTTTCCAAGCCCTTCCTTTCTTTCATAAGCCAGAAGGTCTCACTTAACTCAGGCTAGTCCCAGAGTCACTATGTGGCTGGGCTGGGCTGGGCTGGGCTGGGCTGGGCTGGGCTGCAAAGCCCAATCACCTTGCCTTTTCCTGGGACTGAAGGCGGGCACCACTACATTGTTTTAAGAACACACAAGGGCCAGGTGTGGCTCTTAAGCCTGTTATGCCTTGGGAGGCAAGGCAAGGAAGACCGTCCAGTAAAGGCTCTACCCGGGGCCATGGAGTGAGATCCTGTCGCACCAACAAAGCAGCCAATGAGCACCCCAGCACAATCAGACGAGGGCTCCTTCACTCTTCTCACTCAGATGACATGCAAGGGTCAGGACCTGCTGGGCAGTGGCTGCTTCTGGGCCAGTCTACACAGGTGATGGATCTGCCACTTTAAAATTACCTTTGACAACAGGAGAAAAGGGCAGCAGAGACAGAGAGCCTGACCAAAGAATTGAAAGGTCAGCAGACACAGGGCCTGGTGAGATCAGCACAGATGGCCTTGTGGAGAATGGCCTAGAGCCTTTGGGGGCCTGCCTAGGGGATTGCAGGCTGCTGGTGGCTTTGGGGTTCCAGTGTCTATGTGCCTGCCTTCTCTGAACTTCAAGGACTTCTGTCTTGGCTCACGGCACTGTGCAAACAAGGGTTTGGAGAGAACAACAAAGCTCACAGTTTCATGACTCAGACACAGATTTAAAAGCAATGGTTGAAGTGGACGTGAAATGTGACAGGTTAAGCTTGGTGTGGTAGGAGCTCTCCTAAAGGCTGCTATGGGGACCCTGGGAATTGAAGGGGACTGATGGATCCAGTCAGAACCAGCTAAGGGCTGGGAATACGGCTTAGCTGCACAGTACATGTGACAACCCCCAACTCCACCCCATGAAAGGCAAGAGTGTGTCAATGGCAGAGCACCCCTTACTGTGGGGGCAGGGGCCTGGCTCAGTGGTAGAATACCTACCTGTCTAGAATCTCCCAGTGAGGGGCTGGAGTGTGGCTCAGTGGTAGAGCCCCTGCCCAGAATCCCCCAGTGAGGGGCTGGCTTTACAGTGCAGTGGTAGAGCCCCTGCCTAGAATCTCCCAGTGAGGGGCTAAGGGTGTAGCTCAGTGGTCAAACACCTGCCTAGAATGCGCTATGAGTGTGGCTCCGTGGTAGAGCACCTGCCTAGAATGCCCCAGTGAGGGGCTGG